CCCCCCCCCCCCCCCCCCCCCCCCTCCCGTTACCCTACACCACCACCTGCCACCCAATACAATCCTAATGTACTGGACCCCCGCAGATCCGGAATCCCCTACACCTCCATCCGCGAAGGGTTGTATACTGAAGCCTTCCCCCTGTACTTCAACTGGTACCCCACCACGCAAACCATCGTCCTGCCCCAGCCCACGCCATCCACCACACCATCCGAAACCCCCGCAAACACCCAACGAATCACCTTCACCTCGCGCGAGGAACTCGGCCACGCCACCGCGCGCCTCCTCCTGCGGGGCGGGGGTAATTTTCGCAACCAGATCGTCGTGCTCAGCGCCCGAGAGACGCTGTCGTTCCGGCAGATTGTGGATCTGATTAACCAGCACCACCATGATGGGAAGGAGGGGGTGAGGATTGAGTTCGTACCGCCAGCCGAATATGTGGCCCGGAATGCGGCGGCGGATGAGGGCGGCAAGCCGGCGGGGTTCTTTGAGGCGATGGTCTCGTGGCATGAGGGGATCGCCAAGGGGGAGGCGGTGGTCGATGGGGATGGGTTGATGGCCGAGGTGCTGGGCAGGGAGCCGACGCGGGCGTCGGAGAGGATTCGGGAGTTGTTGAGCGAGGCAAGGGCGGAAGGGGGGTATACGTGGCATCAGAATTATGCTTAAGTCTTCTTCCACGTGGGTGTTAGGGTTGGGTTGTGGAGGTTGTGTGGCGTATACATCTAGGGGGGTGGGGTTATGATAAGGCAATATGTCTATTGCGGTGAATTGAGGAGGTACTGTACTGTACATGCAGATGAAACCCACTGATCTCGAAGACCTATACAAATAAATGACCCAGACTTTTTTCCCAACCCAGGCCCAACCCAGGCCCAACCCAGATCCAAACCCATGCAATCCAATATGGTCCTAGATAGTGACCAACACACAAACGAACGTACAGTAACATGCATACACCCCCCCAAAATCAAGCCCTAGGCCCCTCCCCCAACACCTCCTCCTCCCCCCACTGCCCACTCTCCGTCCGCCCCCTCCTCATCCTCTCCTTCCGGACATCATGCTGTGGAAACCCCGTATGCCGCGTCTCATCCATCGTCACCACCCTCTCCCCGCCATTACCAGCCCCCTCCACATCTTCTTGCTCCTCCTTCTCAAACTCGACCTCCTCATCCGCCCCAAACATCGACTCGCGCATAAACGGACTCCGCCTGCGGATCTCGGGCCCCTTGAGAATCAACACCACCGGCACAACCGACAGCGCCAGCCCAATGAACCCCAACAACGAACCCGCCCAGCCAAACCCCAGGGTATCGAACAACTCGTAACTCGCCAACGGCAAAAACGCCCCAAAGGTGTTCCGCCCCAAACTAGCAGCACTCAGCGCCGACGCCGCGTACTTCTCATACGCATCCGTCAGGTAATTGACCACCGCCATATAAATTGAATAGATGCCCAACCCCGCCGCCGCGATACCGCACGTCGGCACGATCCAATGCACGAAGGGGAAACTCGCCCACCCGTACCAGAACAGCCCGCCGGCGAACAGCAGACTCCCGAGGACGCTGGTGTACAGCCGGGCTTCGGGGATGGGGCGGCCGGGGATCTCCTTGTTGCGCTTCGCCGACCTGAGGTACAGCATATCCTGGAGCGGGTTGACGGCCGTGCCGATCACGGCGCCTACCGAGATGGCCAGCTGGATCAGGCCCGTGGCCAGCGTGCCCCAGCCGTAGTTGGTGGAGTAGGTCTGCACCACCGAGCTGAAGAACAGATACAGAATGCCCCAGGCGAAGCTGATCCACAGGGTAAAGAAGATGACGACCGGTTCGGTGAGCAGCATGCGGGTGGGCCGCTCGAAGGAGATCTGCAGCAGTCGCCACACGCTCGTGTTGTCCAGTTCCGCTTCTGCGTAGATCGGCCGCCCCGTCTCCTTGCGGAGCTTTTTGGCCCGCCGTTTGAGGATCACGTCGGCGCGGGTCTCGTGGAGGATGAACCAGAAGATCGGGAGGAGGCCCGTTAGGTAGATGATTTGGATGTAGAAGATCCTGTTTTGGAAAGGAAGGGGGAGCCAAATCAGTGGTTATTCACCGGGTGGGGGGGATGCAGCAACAAAGACTCACCATCGCCACGGATCATCCTTGTGGATCTGCACAATCGCCGACCCGATGAACGGCCCCAGCGCAATGCCGATGACGCTGGTCAGCCCGAACAGCGACATGGGCAGACTGCGCGCCCGGTCCCCGTACCACACGTCGCTGATGCTGCCGCCCACGATGTTGATCGAGACCGAGGAGGCCCCGCCCCCGAAGAACCGCGTCACCACCAGCGTCGCGAAGTTCTGCGCGAACGCCGACGGGAACAGCGAGATGATCAGGATGATGTACGCCACGAAGTAGCCGGGCATCCGCCCAGAGGCCTCGGTCAGCGGCACGAAGATCAGCGGCCAGAACGCGGCGCCCATGTTCCACGAGCACGTCGCCCAGTACAGGTTGGGGAAGGGGGTGTTCTGCACGTGGAAGCGCGTCTCCATGTAGTCGTTGCCGGAGCCGTAGGAGCCGGCGGGGATACCGGTGAGGATGGAGCTAGGCGATCGCGTTAGGATGGATCTGAGTGGAAGAGATATCAGGCAGGGGGTCTTCTTACATGAAGCACACCGTGACAGTCAAGACCCATTTATACGCTGGACTCCAGTTGAATCTATCCGCACGCGTCAGTCCTTTTCAATCGTCCTTCGCCTATCCTGCGGTCCGCAGGTTCAACATACGGATTATCCGGATCATTCTTGCCATTCCAGGTGTGAAGCTCCAGATCCTCCTTGTCACGCAACTCGTTGCGGCTGACCACCCCGACATGGCGATCGCGGTGGAAGAACGATCGCACCCTGTGCATTGGATCAGCATCACCAAACCAACCCAACCCACAAATACCAGACACAACGCATTGACGACAATCAAACGACTTACCGCCCGAAAAACGAGTCATCGAAATCATTGGTATGCGCCGTACTGGCCCGCCGCATGGACGGGCGTCTATCCTCAGGAACAGCACTAGCACTCATGGTGAGGCAGCAGCAGCAGCAGCAGCAGCAACAGCAACCACAGTAACAGCTAGAACGGAATTCTGCATACCGCAGAACTTTCTCCCTTGATCCCTACACATTTTGTTATATACTTTCCACCCTTCCCACAAATCGGACCCTGGTTCGGCAGCCCGGTGACGGTCGGATGTCAAGGGATCGTTGTCGTCATGAACCTGCATTCGGGCCGAGTGGAGAAAGCCGGCCAATGCCGATACGTAGGCAATTTGTGTGCATTGATTATGAAATCCAACACATGATGGCATAGAGAAAAAAAGTGGAAGTCAGTGACAAAATTTGGTACACAGGACAAAAGAGTTTTGGTTGGGTTTGGGTGAAAGTGGAGTTGATCCAGAAGTGCAAATCAGCCGGTTTGAGGGTTTTCAGGGTTTGTTATGGGCGGATGACATCATGGGAGGGGAATCCATGAATGGATGACTTCATCCCCCGCTTTTCCAGCCAAGTTTGGCCCTAACCTGCCCAGCCCGCTCTTTCTGCTCTGTTTCGCTCTCTCGCTCTAGACACTCGGTGACATCGTATATGCACTATGCAAGTAGTACGCAGGAAAGTACGTACACGTACCTCTTGCATCTTGCAGGGATCCATGCCCCTCCATGCCCCTCCAACCCCTCATCCCCTCATCCGCTTCTCCCTCGTATTTATATCCCCTCCGTTTCCCCTGTTGCTCTTTTCCCAGAATCATTCAATCCAACTCTTCCAAACTCAATTCCATTCATCCAAAACTCTCTCTCTCTCTCTCTATCTGAGACCTTCTACCTCCTTACATAAACCAACCCTCTCACCACCACCAAAATGCCCATCCCCGTCCCCAGCGCCAACAGCCTCCAAGACCTCTTTAGCCTCAAGGGCAAGGTCGTGATCATCACCGGCGCCTCCGGCCCGCGCGGTATGGGCATCGAGGCCGCGCGCGGCTGCGCCGAGATGGGCGCCGACGTCGCCATCACCTACGCCTCGCGCCCGGAGGGCGGCGAGAAGAACGCCGCCGAGCTGTCCAAGACCTACGGCGTCAAGGCCAAGGCCTACAAGTGCGACGTGGGCAGCTACGACAGCGTGCAGAAGCTGGTCGATGATGTGATCAAGGACTTCGGCAAGGTCGACGCCTTCATCGCCAACGCCGGCCGCACTGCCAACAGCGGCATCCTCGACGGCTCCGTCCAGGACTGGGAGGAGGTCATCCAGACCGACCTCAACGGCACCTTCCACTGCGCCAAGGCGATCGGCCCCCACTTCAAGAAGCAGGGCAAGGGCAGCTTCGTGATTACGTCGAGCATGTCCGGCCACATCGCCAACTTTCCCCAGGAGCAGACCTCCTACAACGTCGCCAAGGCCGGCTGCATTCACATGGCCAAGTCGCTGGCCAACGAGTGGCGCGACTTCGCCCGCGTCAACAGCATCTCCCCCGGTTACATCGACACCGGTCTCTCCGACTTTGTCGACCAGAAGGTCCAGGATCTGTGGATGTCCATGATCCCCATGGGCCGCAACGGTGATGCCAAGGAGTTGAAGGGTGCCTATGTCTACCTCGTTAGCGATGCGAGCTCGTACACGACTGGTGCCGATTTGTTGATTGACGGTGGTTACTGCGTGCGGTAAATGTATCCCTGGAGGATATAAATAGAGATACCTACCTAGCTTTTTTTGATGAGGTTATAATGATAATGTCAGGAACGTTTCATGATAATTTGATTTTTCTTTGCCAGTAGAAGTCGAGATCGAACTTGGGGGAAAGATGTACTCCGCAGAGCCCGGCTAATCACTGGGGGCCAGTGCACAGAGGGATGAGATAGATTCTAGGCATCTCAGTGGTGCATTCGGCTGCAGGGTTCTGTTTCCGGTGTCTTCCGTCCGTGCTCCACTTTCTCTTTGGGGGGACAATGATCGTTAAAGTTATCGTATACGCTGCGAGTTCGTATCAAAAAAACGCCTCTTTTCGGGTTGTTCGGTATATTGGACCAATTATGCATGGCCAAGTCACTGTCGTCGAGCTATACGTAGATACATCACGAACTTTCGCGTAGACATGTACGACAAGACCCTCCACTTGAAAGGCCTCGTTACATCTTTCCTTTACCATTACCATTCTCCCCCCCGGATTCCGTCTCGGTTTCATCGACCACGTCCGCCACGTGCAGCATACGCGGCAAAGTGCGCGCCAGGCGCGGCGGGTCCAGCACGCTCTTGGACTGCATGAAGATCTCGTCGATCTCTTCCAGCGACCGGCCGTTGGTCTCCGGGAAGAAGAAATATACCGTCGGCACGATCGCCGCATTCAGCACGGCGAAGATGATGTAGTACCGCCACGAGATGGTGTCAAATCCCACCGGTGTCACCTCCGCTAATAAGAAATTGAATGTCCACACGGCCGCCGTCGACACCGCACTGATAGCGGCCCGCAGCTGCAGCGGCGCCACCTCGGTTGCGTACAAGAAAGTGAGGCCCGAGTAGCCCACGGTGAAGATGAACTCGAAGACGAACAGAAATATCACGGCCACGACCAGCGCCGCTGTATTGTTTGGCAGCGAGGTCGTGCCTGCCAGAATCGCCATAGACACTGACATCCCCGCTGCGCTCC